GGTAGTTGGAGCAGTCCGTCGCGTCTCCTTCTGAAGATGGGGACGATTGTACTGCACCTCCAAGCATCCGGCATTCTTCCTTCGGCTGTTATGTTGTTTAGGAAGCGGGTGAGCCAACTCACTCCATGCTCTCCAAGGGCCTTCCAAGCCTCAATCGGGATCCCGTCTGGACCAGTCGCCTTGCCAACCTTCATTCTTCCTAACTCCCTGCGGACCTCATCCTCTGTCCAGACTGTGATGGGACCTGTTGTCGGCTATATTTGTGAGCTGCCTTTGCGGGGAACAGAAGCTCTCTCAAGTACCCTTCCCACCTTCTCGTGACTTCGACTGGCTTTTTTAGGATGGCACCGTCACCCTTTTGTAGTCTTCACTACCCTGATGTCTTGGGTAGCCCGATGGCGGGCTTTAGCCAGCCGGAAGACGAACTTGTCTGCTTCTGGGCTGTCCAATTTGTCGTACAGGCGTCCATTTCCGTGTTCTTCGCCTTGGCTACGGCTGCCTTAGCGAGTCGTTTGCACCTCTTGTAGACAGCGAGATCTTCTGGAGTCCTTGTCTTCTGCCATTGCTTGTACGCTTCCTTCTTCCGCTTAACCACCTGCTGGACTTCCTCGTTCCAGAACCACGCGCCCTGTCTCGTCTAGTCCTCCCTCGTGTCTCTCCTGGTACTTTCGCACATCAGAGGATGACATCTGTTGCGTTGACCCAAGTGTCCCGGATACGTTTCTGAGGATTTGGTAGACCAGTCTCCAGTACCCTCCTTCTGAGCGCGCCCCTCTTGACTTGGGCTAACTTCCATCAGCGTAGCCTCTTCTCAGTTACTACCCTCTTCTTAGTGGGGAGATCTAGGGCAATGTTTGCTAGGAGAGGTCTGTATTGAGGGCTCACAAGGGAGGTGTTTCAGGTCATGACGCGCTTTTTGGAAATGGTTTGTTGCTTGTTGTAGGGGTCCATACAAGGGTCACAAAAATGGGTTTCATTTTTGCTATGCGTTTCTGGGTAGGTCAAAACTGAGTGAAAAGAATTTGACAGGAATGGGCGGTTTTAACAATGTTAATGGGCTCCGTTCTGCTTGTAACTTCGAGCATGCATAGTTTATGAGTAGGCCTCAAATAGATTCGATTAAAGTCAAAATGTAAGTATCATGTGGTAACACACTTGGCATGCACCGACGCAAGAGTGATGTTTTTGTCAGCGCTCCCTTCATGACCATTGCTGGCGGATCGGATGGCGTAGCGGATAGCACGATGGATTCTGGATGGCACGACAATGCGGGACTCGGTTCGGATCCTCATTGCGGCAACAGTTTTGCATCTGTATCAACGCAACGAGACGAGAACATTTCCGGAAACAAGGTTCTCCACACAAGTGTGCTGGTTTGTAAGGTGTCATCCAGGAAAGGCCAACCAGGACAACCTGGCCATTTGCAGTGAGTGCATATCATTGTACTCGTCTTGACACAGTGAACTCGAAACTACCTTCAAAATTTGCGGAACGATTCTCTGAGCGGAGTTATGGAGGTTTTCCTTCACTGTTTCTTCTTGCGGGTGGGCTGGCGCAGTGAATTTGCACCTGTAGCGCGACTCACAGCTCTCTCCGTGCGAAATAGATATCATATTCGTGTTCAGGGGGTCAAACAACCCCTAGAAACGCCACCTTGAGGAAATCCGAGGTTCTGACTCAACTTCGAAAAAATGGGGTAGAGATGGTCACGCCTGGATGATAGCCAATACTCCGACTAGCATACTGGTGATGACTGGTCTTTGCACTGAAATAACCCTTCAGTCATGTCTTTTCGCAAAGAACAATACCTGGCTCACTTGTTCGTGCCGCCTGCATCATTTTCCTGATTACCGGTAGAAAATTCCATCCCAAGACCAGTCATCCATGGTGGGTGGACCCCAGCCTGCTGCTAATTGTCCATAGAATGGCCCACATTTTCCAAGTTAGGTCGAAACGTCAGATTTGGTTATTAGTCCCCAGGGGTAATCCAACCCGCTGAACATAAATGTGATGGTATTTCATTGCAATAACCCTTCTGACATGAGCTACGAGGGGCAGCACAAGCACGCTTTCTGGCCACAAGTATATGCCTTCAAATGGCATATACTTGACTTATTTCCACTGCCAGACACACAGGCACGCGAATGAATGGAAAGCTGAAAAATGCAAAACATTTTCCGCGAGGAGGATCCGATCCACAAAGTCCCCCTTGCCGTGCCATCCAGAACCCGTCGTGTTATCCACTGCGCCATCCGATCCGTTTGCAGTGGTGGTGAAGGGTTTGCTGACAAAAACATCACTCTTGCGTCGGTGCATGCCAAGTGTGTTACCACATGATACTTACATTTTGACTTTAATCGAATCTATTTTGAGGCCTAATCGAAGTTACAAGCAGAAAGGAGCCCATTAAGGTTGTTAAAACCGCCCATTCTTGTCAAATTCTTTTCACTCAGTTTTTGACCTACCCAGAAACGCATAGCAAAAATGAAACCCATTTTTGTGATCCTTGTATGGACCCCTACAACAAGCAACAAACCATTTCCAAAAAGCGCGTCATGACCTGAAACACCTCCCTTGTCAGTTCTGCACTAGGCAGCACCTTAATGCGGTTTTGAGGGATGACCTTCTGCAGACAGCTAGGTTGTGCGCTGTTGCGAGGTCCAAGGTCCTCTCTCCCTCGGCGTTTCTGGCTCCTCTTCCTCGACCTCCGTGCACCCTTTCTCATCTTCCGGAACCGATCTTATGGCCTCGTCCAGGGTCAGGTAGAACTCATCCTTTTCCGCCTCGGAGCAACCGGATTGTGGTGCGTACACGGTCAGTACTGTCCAGTACCCCTCCTTCGTGTCCATTCTCACTCCCATGATTCGATCACTGACCCTGTTCACAGAGGAGACGCAGTCCTTGAAGGGCTCTGCCCCTAAGGCCTATACCGCTATGGCCACTCCGTTCCGCTTGGCATCTCCACCATTGTAGAAGAGTTTAACACCCTCTCTACGCGGTCCTTGGCCCCTTCCCAGCGCGTTTCTTGAAGGCATAGGATTTGGATGTTGCTTCGTTTCATCAGAACAGCAATTTCTGTAGAATTTCCGGTCAGCGATCCCACGTTCAGAGTCCCAATTCGAACTAGCTTCTTTGGCCGAGGTCGTTCACCCCTCGGTAGCCCTCGCATACTGACCACAGAACTCGGGCGAGGGTTCTGCGCGCCACTTCCGGAGTGACGTCCTAGCATTATGATTCTATTGCGACTTGTCATGATTGTGTTTCTCCATCAGCCGGCCTGTCAACCTGGGCCTGACGCTGGTATCGTCCCCATTTTTGCAATTTTTGCAAGGCAGGTTTGTGCCTCGGCAGGGATCGAACTCGTGACCTACTTCAGCGTGGTTGCGAACATGAGCCCGCACTCTTAACCACTCGGCTATCCCTGCCTTGGTTCATGACAACATTGCTACATGAAATCAAAGTTATGTTATTTACGCAGAGATAACACCGCCAGATGTTTCCAAGAATATCACTGGAACATGAGAGCGTCATTTCGGGTTCCGCCAGACAACATTCAATCTCAGAAACACTGAAACAATTAGACAACCGGTCAAGATCCGAAAGCGTTAGACCGATTCAGAAGAAGTCGTTGTACAGTTGGAAGACAGTAAAAATTAAAACGACCTCGTTTATCTTTTTCATTTGGAAGCACTCAAATGACAATTTAAAGGAACTTGGTGGCGAACATTGTTTTTTTTTTCTCAGTGCAAAATTTTATGTTGAGACCTACTATTCCCTTCGAAATTCTAATGTAATTCTTTTGTTCAGGATCCGTTGGCAGTCTTCCTCCTCTGTTTGCTTCATCAATATCGCCTTCGAATATGTTTGCTTCTTCACCATTGTCCTTCATTGAGAACCAGTGCCATGATCTGCTCACCACGATAACGGAATTGACAACTGTTCCCGACGTGGGAAACCATTTGCAGAAGGTGTGGCCGTATGAATCCTTGAAACCCTCATCATGACTTTAAGCTTGAAGTCATTCAGGCTTACAAATTGTACAGTCTCGGTCAGGGTCTTTCATCCAGCCTGTACCAGTCGCTTTGCAGTGTGGACCAATCTGCTACCGTGTCGACATGCCATGATGCGATGCAAGGGTTAGCAGTTATTGAAGCGTTAGCCCTTAAGTCATGCCTCTATCTAAGTTGTGAGCGCATTTGTTAGGTATTTCATTCAATGAAAAAATAAATACAAAAATAAATAAATGAGTTAAATAAAAGGAAGAAGAAAAAAGATGTATAAATAATAATTTGATTTTTTATCAAGCAGGGTCCGCTTTCATTATGATCCTGATCCTCTCCCTGTGTCCAGAAAAGATCAGACACCTAGCACCTCCGCTTTCCAAACAGGTGCGGAATCGACAACGGTCCAATCTCTGTGATCGGATATTTGAGTTCGATTTGTTTCGTCCGGTTTTCTTATGCGGGATTTTTTTATGCATGTAAGCGCTCCATTTCCAGCAAACTTTAAGCGCCCAGAACTCGCTCAAGAGATCCCAGTGGCACTTTCGATCCGCCTGTTCGTAATCAGCATGCAATGCTCTATTGTTGTACCTAGGTTTCCGTTCAAAATTGCTTGAAAAATTGGAACCATTTCCTTCCTTGCGGAAAGCCATCCTACTGAGGAAACCGGAGTAAAAAAAGCGAAACCCCAAACACTTGTGCACAGGACAGGACTGCGACAAAATTGCATTATTATTATTATTTTTGCAGGAGCAGTTTAGCTTACAGGCGAGTTCGTACAGGACAAGGTGAGCTTTTTGGAAACGGTTCATTGCATGATTAAGGGGACCGTGCACGGACCAGGCATGTGTGGTTCATTTTTGTTGAACATTACTGGGTATGCTAAGAAAGGAGTAAAGAGAAATCGTTTGAATTGGGCGATTTTCACCATCTTATTCGGCTCTACTGCAGCTGTAGCGCTGAGCATGTATAGTCTATGAGATGTTCTCTAACTTGGCATGGAAAACTTACCAAAGTAAGGTCAAAACCCAAGTATCTTCCTATGTGGCGAGGTACGTTGAAATTTCTTGAGTGATTTCCGCAGAAACCCTCCACGTTTAGCGTTATGGTGGCGCCAAAAATATGTTCTGGAGTCGTAATCGGAAGATATCCCCGTATACGAAGTTGCGGAAAAAACATTTGAGCTCTTCTGCCGTTAATGAAATCAACCATTTGGATGGCAGTGGCACCGGAGCTGTCACTCTCCATTACCGTGTACGTTGCCGGCAGGACTAATCGTCAGAAATTTTGCATTCTCAAATTCAGCATTACCCTTGTTAGCTCCGCAACACTAAGCGAGCCTTCTGGATCTTCCTCCTCTTCTTCCGCCTAGACTTTTGACGGGGGCCTGTTACCTCTTGCCGTGGGAAGGTAATTCTTTCTCTTCGACTTTTCGGGTGCAAATAGAGTGCAGATTGTTTGCGTTCTTCCTTTTTCAAACTTCGTACTGTTAATCATGCGTCTATGTACTAGTAAAGGGAACGTTTCAGGTAACAAAGTTGTATAGCAACTCCCGGAGGAGAGTTATTCACAAGTGGTCATGTTACGCCATCATAACCCAAGGTGTTCGAAAAACATTTTCTGCTGGAACTTCATACAGTGGCAAATGATGGCTCCGATCACGATTCTGACACAGTTTTTTTAATACCTCGGCCATTTGGGCTCAGGTTGGCGCTGAAGAGCCATTGCGCACAGGTTAACAAAGATTTTAATGCGGGGAAGCTCTTGCACCAAGCTGGCGACAATTCGCGCCTCATGCAGAAATAAGGGGTGTGTTTATGATTAGAGTATCGGGTAATCGCCTTAACCCATGTTCCGGGAAGGCTTTCTCCAATAGCGTCGAGAGAGCGCACTAGCTGATTAAGGCTCCTCCGTGAACCATTAGTGTACCAGTCGGCTCGCCGGCTGACGCCGGCGCGCCTCCTTCTGATACGGCCCGGCTTCGCCGCGCGTATTTTCTTTCACATATTTCTAGACTCAACTGATATCCGCCTTTTGTTCTGTACTCCACTTTTTTCCGGTGTCTGAAGTACTCTTGAGCTATTTTACAGATTCTTCGTCTGACTCCGCCCACCTCGGAGCAGGCCCCGCCCACAATGTTTGTGCCCTACAATCTTCACCGGCGACCCTCTGCTGACCTTAATCCACTTTTTCCGGTGTGTTCTGGAACCGTTCTACAGAATTTTTGTCTGGCTCCGCCCACCTCGGAGCAGGCTCCGCCCACAATGTTTTTGCCCCACAATCCTCACCGGCGACCCTCTGCTGACCTTAATCCACTTTTTTCCGGTGTCTGGAGTGTTCTGGAACCGTTCTACAGAATTTTTCGTCTGGCTCCGCCCACTCGGGTTGGCCTTCAATCGGCGACCCCTTGCTGACCTGAATTCACTTTATTCCGGTCTTCGGAGTGCTCTGGAACCGTTTTACAGACCTTTTTGTGGCTCCGCCCACCTCGGGGGCTCCGCCCACAATGTTTTTGCCCCACAATCCTCACCGGCGACCCTCTGCTGACCTTAGTCCACTTTTTTCCGGTGTCTGGAGTGTTCTGGAACCGAGCTACAAACTTTTAAAATGAATACCCTGCGATTTAGGGCAAGCTCCGCCCACTGTGGGCGGGTCTCAACACACTTTGAGCGTGCCCTATATTCGCCAGATATTTACATTCTACACTGAGTTTTTTGCGACTTCCAAACACTCTCGCGAACCGGGTTACTGAATTTTGCGAGAAGCACCGCCCACCTTGAGTACGCCCCGCCCATTTTGGATGTGTGCCACAGTTAGTCTGGCGACTCCTTACTAACCTTATTCCCTTTTTTCCCCATCTTTAAGCTGCTCCGGAAGCGAATTATGAACATTTTTCTGCGGAACCCCAAACTTTCGGCGAGTGCCCCGCCCACTGTGGGCGGGGCTTCCCATAGGTCAAGTGTGCTTTTTATTTCTTGTCCCATGCCCTACCCATCCCCACCTTGACCCGACCTCTCCAAGTCGTTCTTCAGGTCGAACCGAATTTCCGGACAGACAAACAAACTTACAACTTACAAACAAACAACAAACAAACAAACAAACGAAGCGAATTATACCATTTTCACTTTGAATTCACCCTTTTTCAAACCAAATTCGTCCTTTTTCAAACCAAATTCGTCCTTTTTCAAACCAAATTCACCCCTTTTCAAACCAAATTCACCCTCACTTTTCATCAAGTTAACCACACTTATTAGGGCGGGCAACTCATCAACCAGATCACGCCAGACATCACGAGCCCCGCCCCGACGGCCACGCCCACTTGTCAGCGCGGACATAGATTCTCAAATCTTGTTTCATAACTGCTTTTGCTGTTTCCCACAAACACTTTGACTGGAAACGACCGGGCATTGACACATGGCCGACTCCGCCCATTCTCTAAAGGGCACTCTAGGCTGACCACGCCCACTGGCTTTTCGCGGAATTTCGATGTTTTTTCAAAATTTTTGCATTTTAGGGTTGCTGCGTGAAGCCCCGCCCACTGTGAGATGCTCCGCCCACTTTGAATAAGCCCCGCCCACTTTTCAAAAATGGTGCAAATCGGCAGTATAGAGACTTG